AAATAAATAAAATATATCTTTTTTTTTCACATAGCTAGCTGTATAGAAGTCATTATTAATTTTTTCAGACTTGCTTTTCTTGTAAATGCAAAGTTCAGAATAATTATTACTATTCAATTTTTGATGAGTATGTTTGAGATATGTTTCAATCTCTATCAAATAACTCTATCGAAGCTAGATGGACGGTGTATTCGACTAGTATTATTCATGAGTTGCATGCTAGTAGAAGTTTTCGTTTACTGTTGGTACGGCAACGAAGTTAAATTAAAGGTGCTTAATTTTTATTACTTTATTAATATTTCAACACATACTGAAACTTTTTTGTAACTCATTTTCCTTATATCTTTATGTGTATGTTTTTATGTATTTTAATATTTATATCGTGCAATAATATAGACAAATAAATTTTTAGATGTACTCCGTGTCAGTTTATCAGATTAGAATAAAATACAAAAAAAGTCGATTTTTATTATGTAATAATTTTAATTCAATATATCAATCTCTTTTTAAAGTTTGTTTTTCTAGTTATAAGATTTATTGATAACATGTGTGTGAGCAATTAAGAGATTTTAGAAGTGTAACTTTTCTTTATAAAAATATAAGCAAAAACGTTTACAAGTAATATATTTTGCTTATCGAGTAGAGTCTTCAATTTGTCGATAAAATTTTCGAGATGGAATGGTTGACTATGGACAAAAATTTGAAAAGATGTTTAATAATAATGATGGCACGTACAATAGTGCCTATTGAAATTACCAGCGCCTACATTATCTCTATGGATCTTGATTCATTTGTAAGTGTAAGTATAAAATATTGAATGTATGTCCGATATAGAGTTTGCCAACGTAATTTTAATTTTAAATTTGTACATATATAAGATTGATTTTATATTTTAATAAAATGTGTTAAAATAATTAAAAACAGATGCAACATTGATTACATCTAATATAATTGGACTATATATCAAATTTAATTAGATCCAGTTAATTTAAATGTACTTACATTATATCAATAAAAAATTAATATATTGCAAATTTCACATGTCTTCGCACGTCATTAGGGGCGATAGATATCAATATATCAATGCATACGTTTGAACTAGAATTAACTTTCTTAATTTATTGTAGGTACTTAAAACATCATATTCGGCTTATAACTTACTTCAACAAATGAATGAGTGACGCAAAATAAAAGTTGCATTATGTAGAAATTAAGTATTATAGAAGTATAATTTGTCTGTATCAATATTTTATGAAGATAGATTATAGAGCTGATTATTCAATATTTAACGGTTCTGCTTTATATTTTTTCTGTTCCGATTCTAGAAGATATCGTTAAAGATATAATTGCGCTATGTAAATTTTGATACTGTGTTGCATACTCGATTCATGAAAAAATTATTTCTCGACGACTACACCGCGAGGAATAGGTTGCAAAATGAATAATAAAATTACCAGCCAAAGTGGGCGGGATTGTGGTCAAGAATATCTACATCTAATAAATTCGATCCGCAAAGCTATAGACTGCGGATACTCGTCAGTCTCCCTAAAGATTTTGTTACGTATTGTGCTTATCGATTATCATCCCGTGAAGCATTCCTTAATTATAATCTAATTAAACTTATATAACAAAAAAATGTTTTAATAAATGTAATATATAGAAAAATAAAAGTAGAAACAATTTACAATTAATGAAACAGCTAATCACATTTTCTTAAAATATGTATAATTGGTGTTATTTCAATTTAATTAAAAAACTTACAAGAAGTTTTTAATTTTCGATGACATATGTTGTGTGCTTCACAAAACGATATCAAGAAACATTATCTCTTAAAAAATGCGTATCCTTGAATTTACTTTTAAACTCCTAACCATATTGGGATGCTGGCGACCGGATTCTTGGACGTCGCTATATAAACGCATAATGTATTATATATATTCAAGCATAATAATTTTGTTACTAAATGCTTTTATGTTATCACAATTAATGGACATAATTCTGGTTGTGGATAATGCCGATGATTTTTCTGATAATTTTTTTGTATTTGTTCCTATGGTTGTTACTTGTTCTAAATTGTTCATTTTACTTTTAAATCGCAAAAGCATTATTATGTTGATTAATATACTAATGGAAAAACCATGCAGACCGTTGACATCGAATGAAACGAAAATTCTTTATAAATTTGATAAAAGCATACAGTAAGTATTAGCAAATAATAGATATCGTAATGTGATATTCTGTCAATAATTATAAATTATAAAATTTCTTTGAATTTTGTTTGTCAAATAGTGTTGATCAAGTCTTTGATTTTTATTAAAATTAAGATTGTTGTAAATGATAAATTAATAAATAAGATTGTTTATGGTTTAAATAAATTTAATATTTTTAATGTATCTTCTTTTTTAACATCTTTTTCGTGTTTCTTCGTGTGAAAAAGAGACAAGCAAAAACATATTAAAGAATCATCAAAGTTAAATTGTTGTGAATTGATAAAATAATAATATAAATTAAAATATTTATATATAAAATTTTAAGATTCATTTCAAGATTATTTTGAGATTATTGGGAGATCATGTTTTCATATGTATACTTGTCTGCAATTATTTTACAGAACTAATACTCGGCGTTATGCATGTCTTGCAACGGTAACAGGCTTATTTATAGTGTTGACATCTTTATCTGTAAATTTCAAAAGAAGAAAATTAACGTACAGGGCATGGCTACCGTTTGATTATTCGTCGACGACATTATTTTTCCTGATATACATTCATCAATTGATAAGTTTATTAGCCGCAGGTTTCTTAAATATTGGTTGCGATACTCTGATCTGTGGATTATTGGTCCATATTTGCTGTCAAATCGAGATTTTGGCTTATCGTTTGAAAAAAATCATGTTTTATTCAGACATTTTTCGCGATTGCATACATCAACATTATCATATCTTCAGGTTGGTTTAAGAATTTCGCAAATTTTTTGGTGTTTTATTTAATATCTTCTTAAAATAAAATAATTAGCATATATTACTACAGAAAAATATACGATAATTATTTTAATATAGCAATATTCAATGTATCAGTTTTACATGATCAAAATAAATTTTTATAAAAGCAAAATTGTTAATTTTTAGACTTGTTTTTATTATGAATGCGAAATTTAGGCTAACTTTTACCATTCAATTTACACTAAGTATGTTGGTGGTATGCTTCAATCTTTATCAATTAAGTAATACAACAGCAAGAGCCAAATACATTGAACTGATATTGTACATGACTTGCATGTTAACACAAATTTTCTTCTACTGCTGGTACGGAAACGAAATAAAATTAAAGGTATAGGCCTTCTATTTTTATATAAGATAATACTTTTAATATATTTAAATATTTCTTATCAATAGTTCTATATATATATATTACTTATTATAATTATATAAATGTAATGCAATATATAAATATTCGTTATATTTTTTGGCCATATACAATATATAACAATAAGTATTATAAATGTTTACGTTTTTAAATATCTTGAATTAATTTAATAAAATTTCTTTTCACAGTTGTAACATTCTGATAAAATATTTATTGTTGAAATATGTTAATAATGACGTATTAATAATAAAAATATCTTTCGTTTCCTCAATCAAGCAATGTCTCGATTAATATGTTTTGTATATTTTAGTAGAGTCATCAATTGATCGATGAAATTTTCGATATGGAATGGCTGACATTAGACAAAAATATGAAGAAATCTCTAATAATAATAATGACGCGAGCAGTTTTTCCTATTCAGATTACCAGTGCCTACATTATTCCCATGAATCTCGAATCTTTCATGGGTGTTAGTATCGAAAATTTGATATATAATTAAACTTAATTTTGCCAATTACTGTCGTATACGCTTAAATTAACTTTATATTTTAGCGAGAATTTATAATACGTAAATCGAAAATATTTTATTAAGTCTAAAAAAATTATACATATATATATATATATATATGTGTGTGTGTGTGTGTGTGTAATACACGCTCGCCACACACATACATGAATATTTATATTAACTCACATATATAATATATGAATATTTATATTAACTCTAGTTACTTAAGACATCGTACTCTACTTACAATTTACTTCAACAAATGCGGAAGTGACAGCGTAAAGGACAAACAAAATCAATGCTCCATCCAGATCATAAAATCAAACCTAGAAAAGATCTGCAAAAAGGAAAAGAAGGCATCAAGAAATATTTGATGCAGTTAATATCGATAAATAATATTTATATCTCATATTATTAGAAAAATATAGTTATTAGTGTTATTAGAAAAACAAAGAAAAATTATTTATATAAACGATACATGCGCATTATTTATTTTATTATTATATATATTTTTGCTTTATTTATATATTATTTTACATTTATTTTATTAACATTTCATTTATGTTAAAAGAATTTATATTGTGTAAGTTTTTACTTTTATTGTCTTTTATGACACGTCGCACTTGTATTGTACTCGAAATGTCTCTTGTGGGTCAGAAGTCGCAATGTCTAAAATCGATAGGGAGAAAGAAGGACTGTGCAGTGACTATTCAATAACACGCAAAACAGCAACGATAGTTTTTTAAGTATAATAGCGAGTAATAAATTTAGCTACTTAAGATTTTATGAAGATAAGGTAACCAATGACATTCAACTTCTTCTAGTTCCATCATATTCGTATCTGGAAACGGTATTATCATAGAAATAAAAGCTAAATTTTCAGAGATCTACAATAGAAGTATTTTCACGGGATCAATAATGCAAGTCCGATATTATGATAATGACGTAATAATATAGATGAAGAAATACAGAGAGAATATTAGAGAAAAAAGAAGATTTTTGAAGTGCTACAAACATTCTACGCCACTCTCAATCATCCGTAAGTCATCTTACTGTCGTTTCTCACAACCTG